GGTGTACCCCTAGCTGGACACCGGAGGACGCTGGTGTGAATGGATTGCATTGGAGAAAGTAAAAACGAGTTCCGCCTAAGGAAGCAAAAGTCTGTGGCCATACGTGGGGCTAGGGTGACAGACGCGGAAGCGACACCGTCAGAACGCCCCTTCTCGGTGACTGACAGCTGCTGTCCTACTGAGAAACTTGGGTCTCTCCTATCACAAAGTGAGACGCTCTGCTGTTTGAAATCCGACCGGTAAAGAAGGAATCCCCATCGCTGCCAGGGAAAGCTAAGTCCCTTTGACCCCCTCGATTCCAGCCTGCTACCCAGCTCCGGAAGAGGGGTTTCTGGACGCAATATTCCACATCCATCTTAACGTTTCGTTCCCCGGCTCCACTTTGCTGTGGAGACCAGTTACACAGAGTCATGATCCACTTTCACCCTGCCAAGCTTCGCCTGAACAAATCCCACACTTTCCTCTCATCCGTAAACAGCCTAACGGCCCCACGATCTCCAAACGCCAACGTGTGCAGCTCCTTCACTGTCAAGTCAACGAGCGTGACTTTGTCCAAATACAGGCTCCTGCATGGTGGTTTAGGCTGATTCTACCTGTCCAGCGCTGGGGCAAGGGGCTCATGGAGGACATCTAGGGGCCTGGGTTAATCGTGGGTGAGAGAAGTCTGGGACTGTGATGGGAGGGCGGAGGTGGGGAGAGGACCATGCAGGAGACATAATTAGCCTATGAAAGTTGGCACCTGGGCCCTGGAGTTGGGCTGCTGATTCCCAAGGGTAATTAAGTTCTCCTCTTTCCCTCCCAGAGTAGGGAGTGGGAAAAGTAGTCAGTCACAGGACGAGAGGAGCCTCTGCGCAGGCTTCACTGTGTCGAATTACTTGCTGTGCCTCAGGGACCCCTTCCTTGGGCCTGTTTCTCCTGGGGAAAGGGGGATGGGGTGGGGAGGCTTTAGTCATAATTCCTAACTCTTGTCATCTCCCAGATGAGGGGTTGCCAAGGTAGGAACCAGAGAAATCTAAGGGCAATTTCCACTTAATTGAACACTTGGTATGTGATGGACACGTTAACTCAGTTTTCCCAGGAACTTAGGTGACAGGAATTGGATCATCCCCTCTGTGCATAAGAGGAGACCTAGGTTCTAGATCTCACAGGCCATCTTGTCCTGAGCCTTTCTGAAGGACTGGGTTACACAGCCTTTCTGGTATTTATCACTGAGAGAGAACCCAGGCACTGTGGCTGCGTGGAAACTATATATACCCCCACTCTTTTTGAAAGAATCTAATTTTTTTCTGATTGCAAACATCTTTCATGCTTATTACAGAAATCTGGAACATTACAGGGGTATCTCACTTAGAAGGCAAACCAGTTTCTAACCCAGCACTCAGAACTAATCAAGGATAAAAGTTTGATGTATTATGTAATTCTATTATATATCATATATCACACATATATTATTCTATACTTCTCTGGAGCTGCAGCCAGGTTATTACATGAATAGTTCATCATTTTGCATTACTGAATAGTAGTCCTACACAATCCTCTTAATATAAAGGAAGGCCTACTAACCTAAATATATAAGGTTTATTCTAGTCTTAGAATAGTCGCTTGAAAACACTGTAATATTTCTGTTTCTTAGAAGATAGCAGCATCTTACCCTCAATTTTTGTGTAAATACTAGAAAACCCAAGGTAACAAGTGAGGGCCAACAGCTATCATGAAGGAGCAGTGGAGGGCCATCTTGGTTGGTCACTGGTGAGGTCCTGTGCCTGGTTCTGTAGAGGGATTTATTACTCAAGTCTCAAACCTGCTATCAGAGGAATATTCTTAAGGTCAGATCTGCTCAAAATGCACAAAAGATAATCTATTTATCTTACAGAAAAATTCCTTTAACATGGCCTATAGGCCCTACCTACATCTGACCCCAGGCCCCACATCTGACCATCAACTCTCCAAGTCCCCCCCCCCCCCCCCCCCGTGCTCTCCCAAGAACAAACACAGTTTAGGCTGCAGCCTTAGCCTCAGGGCACCGCACTTCCCTCCCTCTGTCCCAGTCTCCTAGCATCCCAGCATCATCAATCCCCTTCCTCCTTCAGGCTCTTTCAGGAGGCCTCTGGGGCCACTCGGCAGCGGCACCACCAGCATTTGTCCTCTCATCACTGTTGGCTGCTTCTCTTTGTACTCAGCTCAATTCACATACTGTTTATATTTTACTGATTTATTTGATATGGTCTCCGACCTCTACAGAATGTAAATCCAAATCAATCGGCACCTGCAGACTTTTCTCAGTTTGGGCTCACAGATTAATTTATTTTCAGATTGCTGTCTTGTGATTTCCAGTGAGTACATATGGTCATTTTGTGCTTCTCATGTTCTCAGGGTAATTTTAGGAAATCTGGTTGTGTTCCTTCCACCAGTCCCTTCACAGATGAGAATAGCACATGTGTCTTGAGGTCATCCTAGGCTCACAGTTTCTGTATACAACATCTGGGACCCTACCAAAAATATCCATGCATGAAAGACAAATGTAGACCAGGCAGACAACATACAGAGAAAGAAGATGCAGATGTTGGAATGATCAGACCAAGACTTTAAAACAACTGTGATTAATGTGTTCAAGGAATGAGATGATATATGGAGATTTGCAGAAGAAAATAAACCTGTATGTTGTAGGTTAAATTGTATCCTCCAAAAAGGTATTTTCAATTCCTAATCCCCCATACCTGAGACTGTGACCTTGTTTGGAAGTTGGGTCTTTGCAGATATAATCATTTTAAGAAGAGGTCATACGGGATTAGGATGGACCCTAATCCAATGACTGGTGTCTGCGGAGCCGGCTGGCACTCTCTGGAATAATAAACCCCCCCACCCCTGGGCTATCTGTGTGTCTGAAGCCTACTGACACCTTAAGCCCACTCCCCACTGCAGGATCCTTTGCATACCTGCATTTCTGCAAGATATAAAAGATCTCTTGATGTGTGTTTACCCTAACAAAACTCATTGCCCCAGGAGATAATAGCCCATCTCACAATACCCTAGGCGGACAGGACTCCAGGCACATCCTGCCCTTATCAGGGTTGTAAATCCTATTATTCAGAGTAGACCCTGACAGATCTTACAACCAGTCAGGTACCAGGGCACGAACTGAATCATGCAACCCCCCTACTCCTTGTGTGCACAGCTCCCTCCCCCCAATAGAAGACCCAACACGCCCATCCGTGGCACTCACCCGGGCGCCTCTCCAGTCTGTGTGG